CCCTCTTTTATCCAGGGTGCATAAAAAAAAAAAAAAAAAAAAAGGTTTGGTTTTTTTTTTCAAAACTGATTAAAACATATTGTCAAAGTGACAGGAAATGCATATTTCTTCTAGCCCAAAGAAATCTTAAATTAGACTTCTGGCTGGCCAAAAATGTAACAAAATCCGAACAACAACATACCACAACTCACAACTGTGTTTTCTACGTAGCTACCTGTTTTGTCTGTAAGCAAATAGGATATCCTCCCCAGCTGCTCGGGAATGGTGCTGGATCGAACGACAGTTCCGGGGATTTTGGAATCTCTGCGGATCACCCAGCTGTAGACAATTTTCCCCATGTCCAGATTCACACGTAAACTATGTAGGAGGAAGGGGAAACAGAAAATGTATCTCCAGTTAAACCCTGGAAAAAAATCATTGAACTGCCACAAGCGCACTGAAAGGACACGCCTTGCACGCTGAATCTAAGCTGCCAAAGATAGTGTTTTGGGAGAAGCATACTCAAAGTCAGTGGCTGGGTGGCAAATGGGGAGAAGGACTGTGCATTGCTGCAGTGGTACTGTAATTCAAAGACTGATGATAAAATTATGTGGAGAAGAACAGATATAATTTGAGGGGAAGATGGACACAGACAAGTAAGGACAGTGTGACTGATACTCAGATAGCAGGTTAAAAATGGAAATGAAATGAATCCCAGACCTACACTAAAAGTAACAATCTTATTAATATAGCACAATTAAAGTTTCAGTGCCCCCTAAAAGGCAACCGGGTTCTATTACACTACATGCTGTATAAATATCTCTCCTTTTCTATTTTTTGCTCTGCTCTTATCATAGTAACCAGGTACCCCAAACACCGAGAGAAGGGGCCTTAAATGACTAATCCACAGCCTGAGCTAGAGTCAGTGAACAGGTGAATATGCTAAACAAATTCAGCAGAAACAAAGCAGCAATTCCTACATTTGAACAGTAATTTGATTTCTATTTCTAGATTTGCTTACTTGTCAAATGAGGAATTACATGCTTGTTCATACTAGAAGCATGGAGGAGGACGCAAAGGCAACAGCATTTTGCTGGGAAGCATTAGCAATTGCCTTACCTAATGGGAATGATGTTTGAGAATAGAAGGAGAAATCTTATGATCTGAAGATACCAACGGCCAGCAAAGTGCTGAAGGGCCACCATGACAAGCGAGACCACCACGAGCGCCCCAAACAGGATCTTGGTAAGACAGTTCACTTCCAAATCGAAAAGACCAATCTAAAGACATAACATGAAGACATTTCAAACACACAAGAGAAGATGTTAGCTCAATGTAATATTCACAAAGTGAATAAACTGCCATATCCAAAGAGCCATTCTCCACTAGTCAACTTCTCTTCTAAAACACTACAAACGTATTTAAATTTAGAAGAAATATTGTTGCCAGCTTACAAAATGAGACTTCCATCCTTTGGAAGTTAAACAATGTATGAAGAGGTGTGAGAGGACTCCTGCTGCCAAAAGCTGCAGACTATATAAACAGCCCTGCATCTTGTCTGAGCTTTACTATAATAGAAGAATGCAGTAAAATAAGCTCTCCTATTCTAACTGGGACTATCTCATTATAGCCATATAAAACACAATGGTTTTACTGATCTTAAAAAGTGAGAAGACACGTGTATAATAGGACTAAAAAAATAAGGACAAATGGATTCTACTATGGTAGCTATCTTAAGTCATAGTTTGGAGGATATGAATCATTATTCCTACGGGGTTGTCCCTGTAGTGTGTACGTATAGCATTTGGAAGGATTTTCTTCAAAAAATTATAAATTTCTACTCCTTTTTATTTATTATAAGACTGTTTCCTTACCATACCTTACTTCTTGGGTTTGAAGTATTCATCACACTGCGCAGCTCCCTTCCAGTGTAGAGGACAACTCCCACAACAGTACCTAAACAAAACAGAGCGCACATCAGCTGAAGAAAAACAATCTCTGTTTGTTTTCTCTATAAAACTACTTGTTGGATCCAAAGGCTTGACACAGTTGTAAAGGATTTCAGCAGGTTAATTTCAGTAGCGATAGCAACCATAAACTAAAAAAGCCAGTAGCTGAAATACAAAACATATGAAAACACAGACTTTGAACAGAAGACGTCCTACAAAAAGCCAGTAAGTCTTCAACCACACTGCCCGTATGGTTGGGTTTGATGCCACATCACAGACTGCATCAACTAATGCGCATGGAGAAGTCAACTGCTTTGCTCTCTTGACTTTCCCTGACCCCTTTTTGATGGCAGTTGTCTCTCCCCACTATAAATAAAAGTTGCTAAGGACGGAGGATTTCTTGGTTTTCTTCCCACCGCTCTGAGTCCCACTTAGGTGTGGGTAAGTTTGCCTTACACCAGATAATGGTCCTTCATTGTGTGTCAAAATCAAATCAGTGCTCTGAGCTACGGTTCTTCTTTATTGATGTAGGCTGCCACAATCAGAGTAAAACCAATGAATTCCAACAGCTTTCAAAGACAGAATTACCTTATTTTAAAATCTACAATTTACTCTAAGTATTTGTTTAATTGCTGTTCCCAATGAAAAGCGAATCATACCAACTCCTACCTTATTGTAACAGATGGAGCTACTGGAAGCCTACCAGTGCATTTTAATGCTATGTCCCACAGTTGCTATTGAGGTGAGAGCAACAAAGTTCTCCCTTTTCTTCTCGCAGAAACACAATACAGTTTAGCACCATAAATTACTGTTTTTCTACAGCTTTCTCAAAGACTTTGCAAAAAGCCATAAAGAAAAAGCTATCTACCGTCAAGAGTTCAAAAGCTGTTATTGCCATAGTCTAAATTTTTACTAGAAAATTTTAGGGGTCTGTAAAAATGCAGAAAAACAGCACTGGAAAAAAACAAAGCACTGCATTTTTTGGCAAATACACTGCCATTTTATACTCTGTTATTCGCCTGCTTCCATTAACGATCAAAGTTCCAACAAGCTGCAAGTGAATTATTTTTAAGTAGCACTGATTCAAAAGAGGTGGTTTCTAAAAATATGCTGGGAATCATTCCTTTAAAAAAAACCCGAAAAACAACAACAAATCACTGGAGCCAGATGGCAGGTGGTGGTAAGATCATCACAATTCAAATCAGCAGATGGCACAGCTACTCCGAATCAACCACAAACAGTCAGAGTCAGACCCATTCCTACCACAGCAGATGGAGAAAGCCACATATCTCCACTTTGTCTTACAAGCAAAGGCTGCCCCAGCGAGATGGCATCAGCACAACTTGACAGCTTTCACTTACAGAAGAAGAAAAATAATATCCCCATTTTTTCCTAACAGAAATAACCTCCAACATGCTATTTATTATTGCCATAGCAGAAACAAAACTGAGTATTATATTGATCAAGTCAATCAAAATGAGGGAGAAAACCTGCCAGGACTAGAAAACAGCTTGAAGGCACACTGCTATGTATAAAAAGTGTTTCTAGTTGTTTTATGGCCATCCAAAACAGGTTCAACTGCATAAACTATTTGACATCATGAGAAAATATTTGCAAATGTTAGTCCTATTAACTGAACTCAAAGATATCTATCTACAAATAACTTTGTTTGAATTCAGAAGGGAGGATTGGACTTCAACAGTAAGTTCACTTGTGCTGAGAGGAAGTTGTTGCACACCCCAATACAGACCCCACGACCACTCGGGACTTCTCAACAGCCCTGAGGCAGCGACCAGGACGAGCAGAGTGTGTGCTGTGCCCTCCTCAGGGAAAAAAATGTCTGCACCCACGTGTATAATCCCCACAGCTGAGCATACAGCAGAGGAAGTGCTTTTACCCTCAGCAGGCACCCGCTGTCAGCGTGCGGAGGGCAGGGGGGCATTTCCCTCTGGCTTCAGCAGCGCTCTTCACGGTAACACACCCCCACATTAGGCTCAGCCACGGCAGTGTGAGATTTGCAACGGTTCAAGAGCTGGGACAAATTAAAGCTTCGATACAAAGGCAAGAGAGCCCTGCTCCAGGAAAGGGTGCTGCGGGGTGAGTAGCCATACAGGACAGAATCGCAAGAAAAATGACTTTCCCTTTCTGCATCTGTTTTGTTCAAAAGCAGGATGAGCTGAGGCTCATGCATTAAGCAGCCTTTGAAGCTGCCAGGCTGATTACACATGTCTACGCTCAGAGGGGAGGAAGGTAGGGTACCTACTGCATGGCAATTACTAGTCTATAACATTTAATCAAGTAAGTTATATTTATTTGGATCTTGATTAAATTGTATTTGGACAACTAGTTTTTTACAGTCCCTTGGTCACAGCACTGTGACAACACTGTAATACATTTCAAAGAAGAATCAAAGCAGGTTTAGATAAAAACACAGAGGAATAAAACTTCTTCGCTGTTTTTTGCTTTTAAAAGAGCAAATCAAAATCTCTTCAGTGCTTCAAACAAATCTTTTGAAGTTCATGTTCCTTCCTATTATTATTAATTCCATGTACACCTTCGCACTGCACTGTCGAGCCTCTCCATTTGACAACTTTAATTCCAAGAACTGTACTACAGAATTTCACTCTCGTCCAGCTATCTCCCTGCAAACTTTACAGGGGTGCTGGACAGTGGAGACACAAGGCTTTTACTTTGACAAGAGGGCACTGATTAATCTCAGGCCTTGGGAGTTTATTGTACATATAAGCCAAAATCTGTCAAAGAATTTATTTTTTTCCTTTTTAAAAGTATATAAGATGAACTCCATGGAAGCACTTACCTGCAAATCTTTCATCTTAGCTTCTGTTACCAGAATCTATTTGACACCATTTCTGTTACAGATTAGGATGTCAATGTGGAGAGCAATTAAGTGCTATTCTGGTCCTAGATGCTAAAGAAGTGCCCAAAGGCCACTCCAATTCTTTCTCATCTAGGAATGTCCAAAAGGCAATTAGATGTCAGCTCAGCTCCCCAGAGGTGTTAGGACAAGTGGGAAACCTCATTCCAACTGCTAATTTCTCCAACTGACAGAGATTATTATTCCATTACAAAAAGACCTTTAAAAATTGTTAACATATTCCCTTAAAAAAGAAATTCACACATGCCTCCATCATACCTGATGCAATCACTGTGCTGGCCCATAGGGTGTTTTCTATGCTTAAACTTTCATTTACTGGAGGGTCACTGTCCTCCTACAACAGGATAAAAAGAAAGAGAAACAAACTTGTCAGTAATGCAAAAGACCAGTGGATGACAAGAGTTGCACCAAGGAGTTTGGAGAGGGATGCTGGGAGAGCTAGTAAAGGGCTTCTTGATAGGATGGAGGATTTTCCTAAACTCGGGTAAATCCCTCGTTGGGCTGAAAACAGGACCACTTTTTTCCAGTGGAATAGGGGGGAAGTTGTAAGAAAAAAAAAAAAGGGAAAAAAAAAATCTGTTAGGATACCTCTGCCTGCTGAAGGCTCCTGGGAACCACAAACGAGAAAGGGATTTGTCTGCAGCTCTCCAGGGACTACAGGAAAATGTTCCCTCTCCTGGCTCATGCGGATTAATACCATTTCTACTGCTACTGTAAGAATCTCACTGAGAACCTTTTTGGACTGCTCAGTGATGCCTGGAAAGTTGTCTGGTACACACCAGAGAACAGTTACAAGAAAGCACAATTCCTCTTAGGCACCAAAAGATTAATTCCACACAATTGCACCTTTGCATGAGAAAGTAAATTAATGTCTGTGCAGGTTTGAGACAAGAACTGCCTCCCCAAGCCACTCAAACTCCTCTTCCGTGCCAGGACTATTGAACCAGATTAAACCACGCCACATGAAGATGAGAGGGCAAAACCTACAATTTTGAACTAAAATACCAGCAAACAGTTTCTAAAAAGCTGTAACTGTCTCCTATTTCTTTACAAAATCATTTGTCCTCTTAAAATTCCCCAAGGGTATCAGATGAATCTGTCAAAATTTTCGTAGCCCCACTGAGAGGAAAAAAACCCAACCTTCTGCCCCAAGCAGGCAATGCATCTTCCCAACAAGTCAACTGATACATTTTTTTTTTTAATGGTGATATTTCACTGTGGCTCTGAGCTGCTGTCCTCTCAAACAGGGAGCAGATTAACTGAGTTTATATAGGTTGCATGCAATTGAAGGCAAAAAACCAACCGACTCAGAATTAAGACTGCTATTGCCTGATCTACCTAAGATACCCTGTCTTTTCACAGTTAAAGGATTTTAATCCTACAGAGTCCACAGTGGTCCAGATTCCCTTCTGAGCAGGCATCATGAATATGTAACTATCAATCTCCGTCCAAATGTCCAGGTCCAATACCTTCAGAGTAAGGTCCTTAATCCCAAATAGCCTACGACATTGTCTCCAAGTCAAAACTTCAATAACCATATTTTTGTTTCAGATTTATTTCATGGATTGCATGAAAGGGGAAGAAAAAAAAAAAGGAAAGAAAAAAAAGAACAAGAGACAAGGAATGACAAGAGAGACTTCACTACTTCTGAAAAACTCTGGCATCTTGGTAGTATTCAGCAGGTTTGGATAGTAAACACTACATATATGATTTCAAACCTATGTCAGCAAGACTCACCCTTGTGAAGGTCCCCACAAAATTATGAATATCAATATTGGGTTCTTCTGCATATACATAGGATCGGATTTGCAGTAGGTCCTATAAAACAGACATGTTTGCCAGACAGTTAGATAACGACATTTTAATACTGTACAAACATTTCTACCAAAATACTTTGCGCAAGAGTTATTTATCAAGTTAAGATAATTACTAAATTATATAACTTATTGGAGCCCAACTGTCTAAGAGAAAATACAATTGTTGTAGCAGCTTCACTGAAGAGTATTTCTTGAACTGATACCCAAGAGACTCCCAGGAGTTACTTAGATGTTGGTGCCCCACAAAAGAAATTTCAGCCTGAATAATCAAGACAGTCCAAGACACTTACTACTTCATAGCAAAGGTTTGGACTAGTCTTTCAAGGCAACCAAGGCACACCCTATCACTCAATATTTAAAGTTCAAGATGCCAGTGTCACTAGGAACAGTTCTGTGGTGACAAAAAGATACGCCAGCTCTGCACAGCGTCTTCATTGCTGACCCCTACGCATGCATGAACTACACACTCCATGGAGAGCATGCCTTGCTTCAAAGCCTTTGTATAAAATACATTTGTTGCACTTTTTACAGACAGAACATCAATAAAACAGGAACTTAGATTCCCTGCACTTCTTTTTTACCCCCTTTTAAAACAAACAAACAAAACAAAACAAAACACAAACTACTTTAGCTAGACATTTTGGGAAACAGCATGTTTGATGTAGGCTATATGCTTATTTCAGACCAAGCAGTGGAGCTTCCATGGTGACACAGGCAAGCAATAAAACCGTTACTGCCTCTGAAGCCATTTCACGAAAATGCATGAATTGTGCCTCTGAACCTACTGCAGCGCAAGGAACGCAAGGGAGCATTTGGGAAGTACCACCACCAAGGGTACCTACCCTGCAACAAGACCTATTCTGCAGTAGGTTACCGCAATGGTCTCTGGGGAAGAAAAAAAAAAAGGAGCATCCTACCATCAGCCACCTCTGCTGCAAGGCGATTCTCTAGCTGTGGTGACAGCCATGCGGCACAGAGACACCGAGCTTCACCTCTCCTGAAACCTTGCCTGGAGCTCGGAAGATCTGGCTTACACTTACAGCCTCTGTTGCCAAAGCTGATCTGTAACACGCACTGTTTCTCCAACAGCCCATTAACTGAAGCACCTGAATGTTTTTCAGGTAGAACAGAAAACACGTGTTTACCAAGTAGAATATTTCATATGAAGGCAGCTTACAGAAGCAGTTGGCAGTCTCTGAGTACAGGTAACAGGCAGCCGCAGCTTCCAGTCCGTCTCACCATCCAGCTGGTCAGTGCGAAGGAAGCAAGACCCTGTGGATTTTCAACACCACCAGTCAGTGCTCTTTCCAGATCTATCTTAGGCACACTTTTAGCTTAAGTAACATTTGTCAATAATGTAAGAATGATGTTCTTGCATCACGCATTCATTTCCTTCCGCTAGTCCAGAGTGCAGCAAGACTCTGCACTGTGTCTTGAAGACATCTGAAATGTTCTCATTAGTCTTGATGTTTTTTAATGCTTCTGATACAACATTTCCTTATCCCACACTCCACAAAGCAAACCTGAATGGCAAGCAAAATGATTTACACCTAAAACACAAACTGTTACACAACCAGATTCATTTATCCTCGATTCAACCACCCACATTCTTTGATTAGCAAACAAAAACAGAGTATAACATGCTGAGAAGCGGCGGTTCACAAAAGCATTTGAATTCTCTGTCTCTCTAAAATTTTACTATTATCTATTTCTTTCACATTTCTGAAAGATAATTTTCTCTGAACAACCAGTGAAAGGTTAATGGCTATTTTGACAATTGGTTCCAGATGTTTACCATTCTTCTCCGACGTCCTCAGGAAGATCATGTCAGCAGGGACCCGCTGGTTCTGTTAGGAGAAGAAAGGCCATTATTGTGCACACAGCCCTGCACGCGTGTGCAGCCGCCTCCCACTGCCCCATCGTGACAAGCAAAGGGGGTATGGAGGAGAAAGAGGATTTCTTTGTCAAACTGAAGCTTGGTATTACTTTTGCTTTGAATCCTAAATTCACTGCCCTACAGAATTTCAAGTGCAGAATAATAACTGGTGCCAGCTCCCACTGACCAGACCCAGCAACGGCTAGGTTTACAAAAGAGCTAGTGAGTAACTCTAGAAGTATGAAGAAATTTTAAACTAATGCTGTTTCTTTTCAAGAAGTCCCATGCTAGGCATGTATCTGCAGTCTATGGCTACCACTTTCCTTTTTTTTTGTACTATTTTCATACTAATGCTTTTAAAGGTCACAGCTGCTTTCACGGAGAGTGTGTGAAAAAAAAATGTGGATTAAAAAAACCCCACACATGTATAAAAGGGGAAATATACCCGTACATACCAGTGCCTGCAAACGGATTACCGTGTCTCCTAACACTTGTGTTGTTTACACTCAAAGCAACATTTGGATGTTGCATTTGTAGCAGGTATTTAACCTGTGTCCAACAGTCAGAGATAGGGCTAGGGAGGCTTTTTATCTTTCCATACTGCAAGTCGAAAAATCAGGTTATAGGCACTTATCTACAGATCTGCTTTCATTTGTAAAGATCATGATGCTGTTTTGGTGGGGTGGGGGAACCCTGAGAAGTCATTAAATATCGTAACTAGTGTTCAACACTTGACATTCTAAGCCTATCATAAATAAATGTGACTTCAAAACACCTCATTTTCTATGGTCTTGCAAAAAAAAAATTTACACAGAAAAAAACCACACATAAAGGCTAACCTTTTCAACAATGATGAGGTCGCCTACTTGTATATTAGAGCTCTTCACCTTCACAGTCCCTGCAAAGGAAAAACACCAGTGCATTACAGCAGCAGCAGGACAGGGTTTGATGGTGCTACGCGATGCTCCTCACCTCCCTTTCTTCCAGTTCACTATACTGGTGAAAATGGGTAAAGTTTCTATTATAAGAATTAGGCAACCCTTCCCTGTAAAGCCTTACCAAGCCCACTGCCCCCACTGTGTAAAGCAGTAGGATTCATTCTGCAAAAAGGGCTGAAAGCCTCTCATCTAACAGCTCCTGACCTCAGCCCTGGATGCAGAAACCTTCTGGCCACTCTCTAGTGACACCTCTGAAACAAGCCCTTAAACCTTTTTGTACTGCTTAACCCAGGAATCTGAAAATACTTTCAGCGTCAGGCAGACAACAGAGCAAGAACAGGAAAATTACAACAGGGAACCATCAACTTCTGGCTTCTCTTCCCTAAATGGTTGAAAATTTAAAGCTCAACTCTCAAGCCAAGACCTGGCAGCCATACGCAAAATGAGCCCATCTTAAAAACCAGGCTCATTTCCTTCCGTGACGCAGCTCTTGTGCCTGGCTCAGCTCTACCACCTCTCCTTTGCCTCTCAGCAGACACAACCTGAACAAGGCCCACAGAGTACAGGTCCTACAGAAAACGCGTAAATATTTACTTCTGTGCAGCTGTCAAACATTTCCCAGTTGCTTTAAAACAGGGGATTAATTTAACAATTGGCTAGTAATTTCAAATTTTTAGCCAGCTCTAGATTTGGCTTCTCAGACTAACTAGTGATTTATAATCAGTTAATTTGAACCCTGCCTCTATGTGTCTGTCACATTTCAACAAAAGCCTCTTTAATCTGCTGTGATTTGAGTGGAAGTGGGGGAGGCACGTGGAGCTCACCCCGGCATGGACAACACTCCTACTGTACCTTGAAATTCATGGGCTAACTGGCCAGATAGCAGCTCAGAGGGGAAAGGAGAAGGGGGAAGGGAGGGGGAATAGAAATTAGCACAAAGCACAAAGGTCACTAGGATTTTACTACTGGCAGTCCCTTCATTAGCATCCTTCTCAGGATATGCTTCAGTGTTTCTGCTCCAAATTAACAATGAAAGCCATTCTGGGCTCCCGGCAGCCTGCTGCTTTGGTGACACACTGTGTGCTTAACAACATGCTTCATCACTGCTGCTAATAAATGCAGACTTCCTTACATGCTGTAATTATTCCTACAAATTATAAGCAGTCATGGCCCATTTCACAAATATCTCGTAGGTCTTTTGCAGATTCTGGGTTTGGTCTTGCAAGATTTTTAGTTTTTAAAAAAGGGTAAACAAAACAAATGCTGGGCTAAAGACATCTCTGCCAGGGCAGGAAGCATACCGGGGATTAAGAGTCCATTACGCAGAGGCTTGAAAAGAAAAGCCGCACTCCAAGAGGATCCAAAAAAGCATCCCTGGCCATCTTCTGTATGGGCTATACAAAGTCAGGTACTATGACACTAAAAGGGTCTGACAGATAACATCTCTTCCTCCGCTTTTAATACGGTTATTCACAAAGCAACAAAAAGTGCTTTTGAATATTCTCCTGTGTAAAGGAGGAAAAAAAACCCTGTGTGCTCTCCCCACACAGGCATAGCAACTCCTAAATCACTGTGGAGAAAAGCTCTTGGAAGGAGAGATGGGTTTGTTTAACCCTATTTTATGTATTTCTCTTAAAGTTCACAAGGATTTATTTGGTGACCATCAGTACAGGAAACACTACCTGCAGCGTTCCAAGAATAGAAACTTATTTTCGCAGGGCTTTCCTTAATGATGTAAATTCACACTGGAAAAGACAAATTAATGCCTGGACAAAGCTACAACATGATGATTTCCTACAATTAAGTACATAAAAGGCTTTTTGGATCATTATTCTGAAAACAGTATCACCTGCTTTAAAATTTTTCCAATACAAGAAAAATCAAAGCAGTCGGAGCAGATTTGTCATGTTCAATAACCCTCCCAGCCTCAGCTGTTTTAAGGTAAAAGAAAGAGAGCACCTTCCTAACCAACACACATTTTTATAACTCCTGTATAAATGAGATGCCCTTTTTAGGTAGCAAAGTTAATTCTGCTTTTCCAGCCATACTCCTGGCCTCTCACGGACGACATCTCTGCAGTATGTACCATATGTCCTGCTAAGAAGGCGCGGGACCAGATGTTTCCTTTGACTCAGGACTCCCATAAAGCAACTTACTTGAATTAGTTTTATTTTGATCTGGGGAATTCTGTAATTCCTTTTTCTTTCTGTGGGCAAACTACCTCCCAAACATTCGATGTTTTCTCATGCACATTTAAGAAACCAGCTAATAACACAACTGCTTCATCTGCCAATATTGCCCTACTATTAAAGTATATTTGTAACAGTAAATTACTGCTTTTATTAATGCATCTAAAAGTGCTTCCTCTAAATATGCATGGGTTTACTTAGCATTTACAATGCTTCCAGTTTATGTTTTCTGAAGTTAATCAGAATATGAGTCAGTGATTAACGCAATTTTAAGAAGCAACTAGTCTTGGTATCTCATTTTCAACAACAAAAAAACAATCAATTCTCAAAGTTTGATTGATATTTGTTTCATTCTTTGCTGTATCCTGATTTTTATTTGTTTTAAAGATAAAAAAAGTAAACACAATAGAATGCAAACAGCTTGTTCCAACTTCAGCTACGGCCTTTGGAATTAACACCAAATCTGCAGCATGATGGATGTACCATAGAGCTATTTAAAGTATTAAATATATTAGCCTTAAATATATTAGAGATGCCTTTTTCAATCATGTGAGCACTTACGTCAAGATTTCACAATAGATCTGCAGAGCTTCATCAAGACACAGATCAAAACACTTAATTTGGAATTAAAGATGAAGCCAGAGATTTATTAAAATAAGTCAAATGCATCTGTGGGGGGGGGGAAGGGAGTGTTTTGGATGTGCTGCACCAAACTTTTGGCTTTTGCAGCCTTATGCTGTATAAACTGTGGAGCAGGACTCAGAGGGTTTGGGAAAATATTGTTTTTATATGGCTGGTAAATGCCAATGATCTGTATCTTAAGTAGCACCCCTCAGTAGGAGGTCTCTTCCCATTTCGTTCTGTGGAGTTTCTCTCCATTATGCAGTGTTACCCGGAGAGGGGGGCTGCGAGAGAAGAAAAACAAACCAAGAATTTGCAAGCACAGTTCTAGCTTTCTATCAAGCAGAAAGTCAGCACAAGAATTTCTGAAAACAAGGAGGCTTGTAGGTTCATGAATAGGGGATTGAAATTTGATTATTTTTTATTACAATCCAAACAACTGTCCTTTAAATGGAGAGCTTTCTATTTAAAAAAAAAAATGCTTTCCAGAAGTCTGCTGGTTTCATCATTCGGGAACATAAATGGATCATTTCGGTAGAAAGAGAAAAGAGGTTCAGGGTGGAGTTTTTTTGATGTTACGTAAAATAAATGAACACAGAAAATACAGTACTGTCTACTCTTGCCTCATGCTGCCCTCCAAACAGTTCAGTTCCTGGCACTCAGCACCCATGTTCAAAATAAAATGTGATCCAGAGAGGATTCTCCCTTTTTCTCTACAAAGCAAGCAGCTTAATCAATCTTAAAAAGCTTAACACGAACAGTCCGTGAAAAAAAGTGTCACATACAGGAGCAAAGCAGCAAATTCAGAATGTCCCCGGGTGGGGGCCCGGCTGTCAGGGGTGCCGGACCCCAAGAGCCCCCGGCCGGCGGAAGGAGCCGTGCCCAGCCGTGAGCAACCGCACACAAAGAGGACACGAGGATCCTGGTTCGGGAGAGCACCGAAATCTGTGCTCACTTCTACCCCTATTCAAAACTGCATCTAAGCACGTGGTTAAGTCTCCCAGACTCCATTCGGATCTGAGAACGCATTCACACCCGTGGGGTTGTCCTGGGGAGGTCAAGGCTGGAGATGAGAAAAACTGTTCTCCACCACGGTAACAGCAGCTTAATGCAAATACTCAGGGGAAATAAAAACAGCTTAGAGAAAGCTACAGCCTCCATTAGATCCATTATAGCCAATCTTCAAGAACAGCAGTGCTCAGTGTGGAGCCTCACCTAATCCCCCTCCCCCAAAACGCTGGCTTCAGAGGTGAAACGAAGTTTTAAAAAAATATATAGCCACATTTCAGAGAGCTTTTGTGCACCAGTACTCTTCCGCAGTGCCCCTGTTCAGCACAGGGCTGTGCCAATATCCTGACATGTGAACCCTGCCATTCAACAACAACAAAACATGAAATGGCCTACAAACAGTCCAAGGAAAGTCCTACCTGGGGCTTTGTCAGCCATGCTGAGAAGTGATGGTGAAGATCAGCTATTCTCATCTTATTTTGGTATTTGCTGCTTCTGCTTCTAACCTGATGAAAGGCTTCCTTGAAAGCTTGCCAACTTCTTCTAACAGTACCAACAGCTACACTAAAACAAACCCAATGCTCTTCCATCCCCCAGCCATGGTGGCCTCACAAGGCACCTCCCTGCTCCCAGGTGATCCCCAGGGATGCTATGGTTTTAATCAGTGGAAAAGTAGATGTTCAGGTCTCTTGAACAGTGTGAGCACTGAGATTCAGCGAGAAACAGAAAATTACTTTTCTCCTCAGACCACAAAGCAATCATAAATAACCTTACAAGTTTTTCCCACTCTGAACCATACTGCTAGGAAGTCTCATTCCTGTTTCTGCACCAAATTCATGTTAAATAAAGTGGCTTAAGATTTTCAGCTAGTGCCCAGCTGCCAATCCTCCTTGGTTTCTTTCACGAAATTAGAAAAGTTAAAGGACTGGGGGGGAGGGAAATCATTCATGGGAAACGTAATAGCAATATGAAAAGAACTGAAGGAAAGGTCAGGCCCCTTATAGATCATTGAATAGAATCCAGAAGGCAACTCTTTTATATCTTTAAATAGATGTAGTACACCCCTCTTGGATGAGGCTTTTGTTGGTTGCCAAGCATTTTAAGTGTTGTAGTAAGAACACATTATTAAAAGGGGATTTAATATTCAGAAACTCAAACTCCCTAGTTCGGAGATGCCTCGTAATTCCCAGCATGTGCAATACATACAGCCTTAAGCCATTACGTTTAAAAAGCAGCCTTATTCTTAAAAGTGCAAGTGTTGAAAGCAGTATATTTTTACTACATGTAGTTCATTGCATCTTAATTCACGGGTATAAACTTTTGTAACAAAGGAACTGCAAATGAAAAAAAGAAGTTGCTTAAATTCAGTTCATTCCCTTTTTAAAAACAAAACTCTGGCCCCACCGTCATTGTCATGGTATTAGGTGTAACTCCGTGGTAAGGCAGCATTCGATTTTTCAAAAGAGAATTTAAATGTCTTTGTTAGGTACAGCACAGCTGTAAACAATGCCCTGAGCCAGGGACCAGGCACAGCTGAGCTGCCGCCTGGGCTCACTTACAAACCAGGTCTCCAAACTCCTCACAGTTGGAGGAAGGGGCTAAAGATGATGTATACAAAACAAATACAAGAGAAGACATTGCCAATACTGAGGAACTACATCAGTCATTGCTAACAGAAACACACAAAAGATGTGATAGCATGTCACACAGTCTCTTTTAGTGAAGGACTTGCATGATGTGAGTCCCTGTCTGGCACAACCCAGAAAAAACCTATGAAACTCAACCGGTATCGCATGCTCAGTCAGTGATGGAACATGTCAGTATGTTAAGAAACTCACCTTAAATTTAACATATGCACTCACAAGTTCCTTCAGTACACAGAGTACTTCTCCTTAACTATGATTTGCAGTACCTGTGCTGAAAGAGTCCCCATTCCTAGACACTACAACACAGCCTACCTTCACCCTCATCATTTGAATGTACCGCTGCACAACCACCTCCTGACAACTTCACAGACCTTGGTTTAATTCTTCTAGTAAAGTGCTTTTGCAGATTATCTGCCTATGTGGATCTTCCTCCCCTTTGTAAGCATGCATATGTTGTTTCCATTCAAGAATGTGAATTGGTAGCTTATAGGAATCTTTCTTACATCTGTCTCTCTCACTGACAGGGCAGACAGGCAAAACACACATGCAGGAGGAAGACAGATGCACTGTTACCAAAATTGGAAGAAAAACAAACCAAGCACCCAACCCACCCCAAACAACATATCACACCTACCATAGCACTATTCTTTTATTTCTTCCTGCTGTGCTGTTTGCTGTATTTGCCTCTCCCTCCCTTCATCCATGCAACATTACAGAGCCCTTCCCTCACGTCACAGCTCTGCAGGAAGGGAAACACATTCCCCTTCTGGAAACATCCACCCCCACAGCCTAAAGATCCAGTGTCATTTTCTTTGGTGATTCCAATCCACCAAGAAGGGACAATAACTGGGAAAGAAATTCTGGCCTACACTGGCGTTAGGAGCAAGCAGGGTTTAACAATACCCCATCAACTGCTTGGAAATTCACCCCTGCCTGGCGCTGGCTGCAGCGAACTCCCAGCCCACCAAGCAGGCTCCTGCGTGTGCAAACGCACTGGCTGCCCGCTCCCCACACCTCGGGTCGCTAAGATGATGCTCTGAAGTTATCTGAAGCAATTCACGTACATCCTCCTCGCATTAGCTGTGCATCTCACATGGAAATCCTCAGCAAAGCCCAGCATCCATCGCAACCAGGAGCCATCCATGAGAAGCCCTCCCAGACTCCCGCAGCAGCAGGAGCGTCGGCGTGGCGGCAAAGCCACGCGCCTGCGAGCCCAGAACCCCCTCCCCATTCCTTGAACTCTGCCTCTGCGACTGTCAGCAGTGTTTGATTGAGTTGCAACCCCCGGCGCTGGTGCAGCCATGCCAGGATGCTGCGGGCGCGCTGGAGCCGCTGAGCCGACCTCTCGCTGTGAGCTTGCTGTAGATCTGCGAGTTCACTTCCTTGTCGCGCATGTAGCATCTGATCTCCTCCGCCGCCTCTCGGATGACGGTAACAGCTAGCACAAAGCCCTAAAAGGAGCACGGGGGGGGAAACAGAATGGATGAAAAGGTCAGGAAAAATCACATCTGCCTCTAATAAAAGCAATATTTATCAGTACCGACTCCTAATTTTACTCCTAATATTTGTCAATGCCAACATTCTGCATTTCCTTATTTTATTTTCTCCCACTAAATCATTATCAGGATATTATGCGCTGCTGTCCAGAACTCTCAATGGCAAACTAACAACAGACTTGTAGCTTAGAATGTTATCATTCCGTTTCTTAGCCGTGCCATGATGCTCTGCCAGTACCTCCCAAGCAAATATTTTTAAAGTTTATCTGAAGAGCCTAAATGACATATTTCACCTCACTTCACAGGTACGTAACCAAGACCGAGAGTTACGCAAAAGTCCAACATAAGACAGGATCCCTCAAACCTCAGTACTCCCTCACCACAGAGCCATCAAAGTTAGCTCATCTAACCTAGGAGATTTCTTTACGCAGAAATCTATATAACTTCTTTTTTTATATATATAGATATACACATACTTATGCAATGTGTGTGTATTCATGTGTATGCATACATACACTCAACCTACATAAATAAGCACTCTAAACATATTAATGTGAACTACTCATAGTATAATTACACATTTGTCTGACTAGGGTTTCGGTCCTACTTTCCTGTGGATATGAGAAGTCATTTCATTTCCTCTTGTGATGAGGAAAATGCTCACATCACATCCTTCACTGTATAAAAATTAACTAAATTAATGCAAGACAATTCTTCATGAGCCTAGTACCACAAAGTCATTTTTTCATTAGGCACTATTCAGCTCAAACTCACCAAACAGTTAAAACACTCCTCATGCATTACAGAAGAAAAATGAACTTCTTACACGCTGTATTCTTGAAAATTGCAACCACGTACTGATTATCTCTGTCAATAAGAAACTTTTTGATTTTAAGAAGGGGGCAGGGTGACATTAGAAACTGAGTGTTACATGAAAAACCACATGAAAATGTCTGTAAATACCCAACTACCCAAATGGGAGACTTTGCCAGTGGGTTGAAATTTCCAACTTTAAAGTAACTTCATTTTTAGAAAGAACAGCTGTGCACACACCTCAAAAAATTGTGTGCACAACTTGCTAAGCTGGAACTTGTAAACCTGAACTCCACAACCACCTCGGGAAAGTCTTGCTGTGAAGCATTGCTAACACTACCCAATACAATAACAATTCAAATTCTCACATTTTTCCTAAACAAAGAAAAATTATTAAGAGTGACTTAAGAGCTACTAGGACTTAGGGAGAGCAGTTTCTTTATTAAAATACTGAGGCATGCTTCACCTGCTGGCTCTCACAATCCTGTAATGAAACGAAGTAGTCCCTCATTCTAGTACACACAGATGCATCTAAATGCATGGTCTAGATTAGTATCGGTACTGAAATGCAATGTAGTATGTTTCTGCAGTATTTAAAAATGCAGACACATAAAGAGACCCAAGGATGGCATTAACTTTTTAAAAAAATGCCTCTATTCAACGCTGTATTTACAAACACTGAAAATAAGAAGCCATTCATACAGTATTTTCAGCGAAGTGTTTTACCCTCCAGTGCTCAGGACCACAACAGTCTGTTTTGCACCACTGTGGAAGATCTCTCATTCCCATAACCAAAAAAATCAAGATAAAAATGAACATTTCATTTCTATTTACAAGAACATTTCATTTCTATTTACAAGTTGCATTTGTGCGTCTAGCTAGAAATTCCTATCTGCTTTCCAAAATAAAATTTAAAAAAAGCATCAGTTATTTTCAACTTGTGTTTCAGCTGTTTGAAGAGTCTTCAAATAATCGCCCCAAAATATTCCCACATGTGCCGACTCACTGTGGCACCTCGCCTGTCAGTCCATCCCCAACACTCGCATTAGCAGCCAGTAATGAACAAAGACCCTTCTTATCCTGCTTTCTGGCAGCTCATATGCTAAATTCTAATTGCTCACCTGGCATGAGGAAGTCACAACTACCTATACAAAACCCAAAAAGAGACATCCTTTGTGTGCATGTATACTTTATTTATAGGACAGGATCTTACAAAACTAGCATTACATTCATACAGCAAATGCAATACAGCACACAAGAGAGAATTCAGTGAGATCCAGAATTTAATACAAACAGAATTTTAGCAGCAATGTCCCAAAGCTGCCCCTTCACTTCTTTCTGGCTTTTACCAGGGGTTTCACTGTACTGAAAGTTTCTAAAAGGCAGGAAAAATTTCCTTTGCCAGTCCTCAGCAACCTCAATGGAGCTGTGAATTTTCACCACCACCATTTCTCAAATCAGTGCACAAGTAGTGTTTTAGAAAGAGCCCTGTACTTTATTTTAATCAATTTTCAGTTGGTTTTGTGTAATTTCTTTAAAGCAAAAAGGATGTCTATCCTTGAAGATTTTCAAAACTCAGCTAGATGAGTTAAACCAACTTAAGTTCAAAGACAGCCCTGCTTTGATCAGACAGTTGGACCAGATGTACCTCTGAATCAAAATTATTCTACAACACTACGAGTTGAAGTGCAGGAGAAAAGTTATTCACACAGAAAGAGAAATAGTAGTTTTATTGGGATAAAATAAAAAATATACAGGTATCTATATTTAAGCCTATAAGCAGTTGTAACTGGCTCATGCAGCACATTTTAGAGATTTAAGAAGCCCATTTTATGCAACTATTCCTCTTTCTGTCCTTTGGCAGCACTGGAGTTTCTGCTTCAAAACCGGTTATTGATTTCCTCTGATGGCAGGTGAAACACATGGCCATCCAAAGAAAAGGGCACATAGTCCACGAGAAGAGTATCTGCACCTTGACAGAGCGTGAATATGTCTCTACATATTTATTTTTGTATGTGGGAGGTTGGGGGGGGGGGGGGGGGGCGTGGTTTTTTTTTTT